TGATAATTCTATTTTTTTGTTTTATTACCTTCACAAAAATATGCTCTTTAATTCTGTAAGAAAAAATAATTTTTTTTTTTTCAAAATTTCTTGGACACTGGTGCGTGACTTCAGATTTTGGCCTTGGACCCTGAAAGGGTTAAACAGCTGGGAGTTATATATGGTACTGTAGATGGGATTTGTCAGATCATTATTATTAATTTGTTTATTTATTAATTTTATGTAAATAAACCCATGTAACTCATTTAGAGAAAGAAGGGGTAAAGAACTGATCCTCAGTCCCTTAAGTATGACATCTTGTGACTGGTTATGATGGTTCATCTACCCTTGCAGCCTGACTTGAGACCAAACTTCCTTGTTGACTTCTTGATCAACCAGGATACTGTTGCCACCAGCCCACAGGTCTACATAGCCATTGCAATCTAGTTGATATGGTACTAAGTCCAGAAAGTAGTCCAGTTTATTCCTGAAAACCTCTACTCTGTACCAGCAATATTTTTTTGGAATTTGATAATGGAAATACTAGTACCATCCGACTTACGACCTGCTTGACATACGACCACTTGTACTTACGATCATATGTCTAGCAGCAGGGCTGGGCAGGCTGATGCATACTGCCGTACAACAGCTGACTGTTACTCGCATTGCAGCGAGTAGCAGTCAACATCACTCAGGCAGCATCACTATGAGTTACCCTGCCCTATCAGCAGCATCATACTGTATTAACTGTACTGTACTGTATATATGTACCTGGACAGTAAATTTCTTACATTCAAAGTGAATTCGAACACAATGTTTTGTATATAAATGTTCTCGGAAATAAACAACTGTTTGTGTTGTATACAGTGTTTCTCCTAAACCTTACAGTATAAAATACAGTAGTAAAAGCATAAAAAGTAAAGTAAAAAAAAGAAATACAAAAGTAAAACAATAAAATAAAATCATTACAATAACTGTGATGTTGATACACGTACAGTAGTAAAATAGTACGTATTTAGTAAAAAGTAACATACGATACTATAAAGGTACCTTATATAGCAAAGGTTTGCCATTATGCCCTACCCAGTATGTCAGCAATTTTCTAAGGCTCAACTTGCATTCATTTTGACTTACGACCGGTTGGTTGGAACCAAGCTCGGTAGTAAGTCGGATGGTATTGCTGATATGACTGCAAGAAGAATTTATAAGAGTTAGGTTCATAATGATTCAAAGATCATGGGAGTCAACCAAATTTGTGGAAGGAAAATATGAAAACAGACATGCAGGAAAAATTCTACGATGGCAACAAAGAGAATGGAACAAACCAGAAAGACATGTTTAAACAGGACTGCCTGGAGATAATCTTTCACAGAGAGAAAAGTCAGAAATATAAGACGATAAAGATATTTTCCTAATTCACTTAATAAATGACTTTAGCAATAAATGCAATACAGTATGCTCTCCCCTTTACTAACCTGCATGATTTTAGGTGGAGTGGTGACATAAGCTACATAAAACTCTATTGCTCTAGAGAGAAGACTATAGAGTGTCTTAGGACGCACCTCCAACCCATGAGTTTGTAACAATCTTGGTAACAAATCACACACTGAAAGGAGTTTGAAATGTGCATTTTATAACAAGATTAGCAAAAAATAAATGGGTACAATTCAACAAAGAACACTGGCCAAAAAACACAACCATTAATTAAAAGCCATAATGAGATTAAGTACTGTTATGCAAAGCATTTATTGCTGAGCATTTCTTACACAGAGTAGTCATCAACACCAGATACCACAGAATCAATATTGTTAACTTACAGAGAATGGAAGTACATACAGTAAAAAATTATTTAGATCCAGAGGTTAGGTTATGGCAAACAAAATGAAAGCTTCCACTTAATTGGGGGATTGTTGTAGCAATTATGTAAAGTGCTAGACCCGTGTGGATCATTCAACACAAGGGGTAGTAGAGGCTCGATTCTCCATATGTTAAACTTGGCGTGATATCAGACCAGGGCGGCAATTCTCTTTATTGTCATCACATGTAAGGTGACAAAAGTTACCAAATGACATGACATCAACTGTCACTGAAATATAATGAAGTACCAGAGACAGAGTACTGTAATGCAGCATTTAATTATGATTTTTTAATAAAACAGTAGGCGCCCTACCTACTGCTCTACCGTGTCTCTGAAAATTATTCTTTATTCAAATATTAGGAACTTGGAACCCACTTTCCCATTGACAGCCAAGTTATAATCTGAGATGTTTTCCCAAGCCATAATATTCTACATCTAACTTCATTTATTTTCAACAGTGAAATTTAAAAACACTGTATAATACTCAGATGAATCTTCTCATCCTTCCCTCTTTCTTCCCCTTCCCTCAAATTCCCTTGTAATTTTTTCCCTTCCCTTCCTTCCTCACATTCCCTCCCTTCTACTCTCTTTCCTGTCTTATCAAAAACAACACATTTTATGTATTTATTCACCCTCTCATTGACAACAGTGAAAGGTATTAGGTACTGGGCATATATCATAGTGTGGGGGAGGAATGATGAAGGTAACTGCAAGGGAAGGAAAGGTGAGCTGTTGTAGAGTACAGTAAGCTTAGCCAGGGTAGGGAGAGAAAGAGAGGGTGTCACCTCACTTTTTCTCCATCATTTTTACCATGACCACCAGCCAAAGCTGCGACTTTTCCCGTAATCTCCTAGCCCACCTACCAGACTCCTTACTCCACAACCATGAACCCAGGGCCAGTGCATCCCAAAAAGGCTCCCTGACAGCACACTTGACCCCCTAGTATCCTAACCACTGCCCAATCCTTCCCTGCCTCCCAACCACAGCAAGTACCAGATGTGAATAGTTATGACTACGAACAGTTCTACAGCACTATATAAATCACACAACTAAAGGACTGGTGTTCAACCCCAGCATGAGTGGAAACATTGGGCATGTTTACTTACATCTACTGCTCCTGTTTACCTAGTATGAAGTACAAGTGGGCACCACTTATACAGCAGGTTAGGTTCTGGGCTACTGCTGTAAAGCAAAAATTACTGTAAAGTGAAACAGCCTTTTTCACTTTTTAATGTACAGTATATAAAAGCCAGATAACACATTTACATTATTGTAGGTTAAGTGAGCAACAGAGGTAGGCCTAGAAAATAGATGTACAGTACACACATTACTTCTCTCTTTCTCAACATGCTGGCCATCTCTCACCGAGACAGGGTGATCCAAAAAAGAATGAAACACTATCACCATCATTCACACATAATCATTGTCTTTGCAGAGGCACACAGATAAAACAGTTCAGATGTCACTCCAAATAGTAAATATTTCAATCCCCTCCTTTAAAATGCAGGCATTGTACTTCCAACCTCCAGGACTCCAGTCCAGCTAACCAGTTTCCTTAAATCACTTCATAAAATATTACCCTGCTCACCCTCCAACAGCTCATCAAGTCCCACAAACCATTCATCTCCACTCACTCCTATCTAACACACTCACATGCACTTTACAATATTTTCATCCTTAGCTTATAGTGAGTGGTGAATATATTTATTGTAGGAAGTCTTGAAGAAATGAAGAATGGATATAATTGAAAGCCACTGCATTAGCTAAATGCTGTAAAACAAAGCACTGTTAAGTGGGGCTTGCCTGTATGTATGTGGGTGTTACCTGACTGCTGTGGGTTGCATCCCATGGAGGGTGTTAAAATACATACCTTAACATACATCTTAACTTATTTATCTAACCATGTAAAAAAAAAAAAATCAATGCATATGGTAAAAACTGAGAAAAAAATTTATCTATAATTCTTTTCAAGAAAGACTGGATATCAGATTGGAGGGAGAGAGTATGGAGGAGGTGAAATGTATTCAGATATTTGGGAGTGGACGTGTCAGCGGATGGGTCTATGAAAGATGAGGTGAATCATAGAATTGATGAGGGGAAAAGGGTGAGTGGTGCACTTAGGAGTCTGTGGAGACAAAGAACTTTGTCCTTGGAGGCAGAGGGGAATGTATGAGAGTATAGTTTTACCAACGCTCTTATATGGGTGTGAAGCATGGGTGATGAATGTTGCAGCAAGGAGAAGGCTGGAGGCAGTGGAGATGTCATGCCTGAGGGCAATGTGTGGTGTGAATATAATGCAAAGAATTCGTAGTTTGGAAGTTAGGAGGAGGTGCGGGATTACCAAAACTGTTGTCCAGAGGGCTGAGGAAGGGTTGTTGAGATGGTTCGGACATGTAGAGAGAATGGAGCGAAACAGAATGACTTCAAGAGTGTATCAGTCTGTAGTGGAAGGAAGGCGGGGTAGGGGTCGGCCTAGGAAAGGTTGGAGGGAGGGGGTAAAGGAGGTTTTGTGTGTGAGGGGCTTGGACTTCCAGCAGGCATGCGTGAGCGTGTTTGATAGGAGTGAATGGAGACAAATGGTTTTTAATACTTGACGTGCTGTTGGAGTGTGAGCAAAGTAACATTTATGAAGGGGTTCAGGGAAACCGGCAGGCCTGACTTGAGTCCTGGAGATGGGAAGTACAGTGCCTGCACTCTGAAGGAGGGGTGTTAATGTTGCAGGCTTGTTGAAAGAAGATTTACAATGATTGTATCTGAAGACTGGAGGCCACAATGCCCCAACTGTAAGTGCAAATGATAAAAAGAAATCAAACAATCTTAAGTCTAGGCATCTACTGCACAGTATTTCCAAAACACAACAAAATGACTCACCAAGCATTCGTCTGAATGGGTTAAGTGGTCCTGGGCAATGTTTCTCAGCAGCAAGTAAACTCTCCACCAACTGTAACTGTAAAATAATACCGCATTCAGATGCAATTCAGTTTCAATTTTTTTATTTTTTTGCAATGTCTTAGGTTTCTGATCCACATTTTTTTTAAGCATAATGCTTTGCCAAATTCCAAGTACTGTACTGTACTACAGTAATGAGTTTTTAAATATCTACTTAAGAATGGTACACACTAATCCTGAAAACACATGTAAGACACAGTTGATTGCAGTTGCTCATGGAAGAACCACTTGGGGAGGGGGGTAAAAAAAAAAAAAAAAGTATTTACTTGATCATACTGATGGTTTTTCAGTTACATTCTCACTTCCTGGTCTTCTTTATATTTTGCCTGAAAACATTGCCTATTTAACCCTTAAACTGTCCAAACATAGATCTACGTTCGCTCACATAGCGCTCCGAATGTAGATCTACATTTTTTTTTTACATAAGAAAGCGTGTAAAATCAAACACAGATCTACGTTCGGAGCATTACACGAGCGAACGTAGATCTACATTTGGACAGTTTAAGGGTTAGTGAACAATGCTTTCCATTCATTGTTTTTAATTTTTTCTTACTTTTAACATGTTTTATCTATTATTACCTTCTATAGTATTTTTATATTTCTATATGCTACTAAGGCCATACTCATTCTTTTCCTCAGTGTAATCACCTTACTACTGTAGATATGGAACTTCAAACAGCAAATTAATTTCCAGTGTATTTTCAGTATTCCTTCAAATATCCTTAAGCAATGGAAGGTTGTTTAAATCACTGGTGAGGATACCACATGAGGTTAACAGAAAGCAAATTCCCCAAGTGTATGATGTGTCAAAGTACAGGTGGGCCCCACTTTACTGCTCTGCTTTACAGAATTTCACTAATGCAGCAGTTTTCAATTAGTATACCCATTCTTCATATATTCAGTTAGTTTGATATCTTTATTATACACCCCATACCCATCCTGTGGGAGGTAATCAAAATATTACAGAGGTACATAATGTGCCTCCAGGGACTGGGTTATGAAGTTTTGATAGCTGAACAAGTTACAATGATAATGAACTATTTACATGTTTATATCCTAAGACCTCAAGAGTTCCACAAAATTATAATGTTCCTAGTGGACAAAAGAATGCCACAAGACACTCAGGTAATAGATTTTAGAGGATTTTTGATAAAGAGCCCAGAATGCAACACCTTTTAAAATATCAACATTGTCAGGCTGAGGCAAGGACTACAATCAGACAAGTCAGATGTGACTTAGTGAGGCTGTGTTTCCACTCTTACAAAGGACACACCAAGAAGCCAGGTCTGGTCCACTGTACACCGAGTAAGCAAGAAACATGCATCACACCCCATCTTCTCCCCAAGAATTAGATTAAGTTAGGTAAGAATCCTCAGGAAACAGGACAAGTGTTTCCTGATGCGGGTCTTAGTCATATGATGACCCGCCACTGGAGCTTTTGATCATCTGATAGAAGCCTTCCACTGGCTCACCAGTCAACCACTTTAAAAATCAAAATTAAAAGTCTATATCAATAATTTTTCAACCCAGAGTTAAGAACGACATAAGAAGTCACTCCAATGGACATAACTAACACCATCACCAGGAGTTTTACATTCAACAGCAACTCCTGTAACTACCACCCATCTTACAGCACAAAGTTGATGCCTAACTCATGCCTATAGACTTTGCCACAGAAGGAAATACAGTCACTTGTGCATAACCTTTTATTTTAAGCAACCTACATCTTGCTGAATAGGTATAAGAGTTGCAGTTCTTCCAAGGTAACCACATATGATACAGTACATTCTGATTAAGTTGCTTGCATTATACAATGAGGCCTGGATGTATTGTGTGTTACCAGATTCACAGTGCTATGTCCATGTTGTACTGATTCATAAAACAAACCCAGGAGAATGATGAACATAGCACCATGAGTTTGGTAACATGCAGTACATCCAAGTCTTGTTGTACAGTGCAAGCAACTTAATCAGAGTGGACCAATTAAGACACTGTACTGTATCATACGTGATTACCTTAGAAGGACTGCGGCTCATACAGTGGACCCCCGCATAATGATCACCTCCGAATGCGACCAATTATGTAAGTGTATTTATGTAAGTGCGTTTGTACGTGTATGTTTGGGGGTCTGAAATGGACTAATCTAATTCACAATATTCCTTATGGGAACAAATTCGGTCAGTACTGGCACCTGAACATACTTCTGGAGTGAAAAAATATCGTTAACCGGGGGTCCACTGTATACCTATTCAGGATTTCAGGGCAAGAAGTAGGTAGCTTAAAATAAAAGGTTTGGCACAAGTGATGGTATTGCCTTCTGTAGCAAAGTCTATAAGAACATACCCCATGGTGGGCAGTGGTCTCAGGAAAGGTGGTGGTCAGGAGGAGCATGAGACGACAACGAGTCATGGTGTCTTGAGAACGCTCTGCTGCCGACAATACCATTGCCAACTGAACATCTGCAAATAGTAGAATTTATAGTAATACACCTATATGCAAACAAAGCAAAAAAAAAAATCATTCATGAAATGAATTAGCATATATGTACATGTGAATGAGTCTTGTATAGTGTATTAATGACCAAATTCTAGTCCAATATATGAGAGGACAATGAACAGGGTGTTGGTTTTACATTCTTGATAAAAAGTTTCAAATCAACATGTAATACCTGAGGAGATACTTTAATAGCAAAAGCACCGGTTCTGTAAACATGGATGAATTTTATAAAAATGTTATGTATTCTGTACCTATAAGTGGGAAAATCGTGCACATATATCTCCGACTACACTATAGAGTTGAAACATCATTACACATAAGAATGACCACAAAAGAAAACTTCAGCCTCTGAAAGCAGCAGCCAGGCCCTGTAAGACATAAACAATGACCTGGTTCTCTTTCCTTTATAATGTCATTCTTCAAGCATAAGTGAGGGTTGAATATCATAAGTCAACTTTGCTCCTTCCTAAGGATTAAGACTTCTACAGAGTACACAGAATTATTGCATTTTTGAAATTAAAACTCTGATTCATCTTTGCCACACAAGTTAATTTATTAAAAAATTATCTATTATGCCCAGTACTAAAACAGATATGAAATTTAAATATGGGCTACTTAACTGGCTAGTTAAATAGTCTTGATATTCACTAACCTTAGTATTACAGCACAGACAGATCCCAATAATCTCTGGCATTATAAATACTGTACTGTTTTGTTATTGCCACCTTTTTTTTTTTTTTCAACAAGTAGGCCGTCTCCCACCGAGACAGAGTTACCCAAAAAGAAAGAAAATCCCCAAAAAGAAAATACTTTCATCATCATTCAACACTTTCACCTCACTCACACATAATCACTGTCTTTGCACAGGCACTCAGATACAACAGTTTAGAAGTCCCTCCAAACTGTCAATATCCCAGACCCCTCCTTTAAAGTGCAGGCATTATACTTCCCATTTCCAGGACTCAAGTCCAGCTAAATCTATAATAACCAGTTTCCCAGAATCCCTTCACTAACTATTGCCCTGCTCACACTCCAACAGCTCGTCAAGTCCCAAAAACCATTCGTCTCCATTTACTCCTAACATGCTCACACACGCTTGCTGGAAGTCCAAGCCCCTCACCCACAAAACCTCCTTTACCCCCTCCCTCCAACCTTTTGGAGGACGACCCCTACCCCTCCTTCATTCCGCTACAGATTTATACGCTCTCCAAGTCATTCTACTTTGATCCATTCTCTCTAAATGACCAACCACCTCAACAACCTCTCTTCAGCCCTCTGATTTAATACTTTTAGTAATTCCACACCTCCTCCTAATTTCCACACTCTGAATTCTCTGTATAATATTTACACCACACATTGCCCTTAGACAAGACATTTCCACTACCTCCAGCCGCCTCCTCGCTGCAGCATTTACAACCCAAGCTTCACACTCATATATGAGTGCTGGTACCACTATACGTACTTTCATACATTCCCTTCTTTGCCTCCATAGATAACATCTTTGTCTCCACAGATACCTCAACACACCACTCACCTTTTTTTCCTTCATCAAATCTATGGTTAACCTCATCCTCATTAACCCATCCAATGACAAATCAACTCCCAAATATCTGAAAATATTTACTTCTTCCATACTCCCTCTCTCCAATGTGATATCCAATTTTTCTTTATCTAAATCATTTGATACCCTCATCACTTTACTCTTATCTATGTTCACTTTCAACTTTCTACCTTTACACACCCTCCCAAACTCGTCTACTAACCTTTGCAACATTTCTTTAGAATCTCCCATAAGCACAGTATCATCAGCATAAAATAACTGTGTCAACTCCCATTTTGTACTTGATTTCCTCATAATTTAATCCCACCCCTCTCCCAAACACCCTAGCATTTACTTCTTTCACAACTCCATCTATAAATACGTATATTAAACAACCATGATGACATTACACATCCCTGTCTAAGACCTACTTTTACCGGGAAGTAATCTCCCTCTCTCCTACACACTAACTTACTACCTATTCCATACACTTGCAACACCTGCCACATTGCTCCACTATCCACTCTATCATATGCCTTTTCTAAATCCATAAAGGCAATAAAAACTTCCCTACCTTTATCTAAATACTGTTCACATATATGCTTCACTTGATCTACACATCCCCTACCCACTCTAAAGCCTCCTTGCTCATCTGCAATCCTACCCTCTGTCTTACCTCTAATTCTTTCAATAATAACCCTACCGTACACTTTACTTGGTATACTCAGTAAACATTTTTTTTCCACAAACCGGCCATATCCCACCAAGGCAGGGTGGCCCAAAAAGAAAAACGAAAGTTTCTCTTTTTAAATTTAGTAATATATACAGGAGAAGAGGTTACTTGCCCCTTGCTCCCAGCATTTCAGTCGTCTCTTACAACATGCATGGCTTACGGAGGAAGAATTCTGTTCCACTTACCCATGGAGGTAAGAGGAAATAAACAAGAACAAGAACTAGAAAGAAAACAGAAGAAAACCCAGCGGAGTGTGTATATACATGTATATGCTTGTACATGTATGTGTAGTGTGACCTTAGTATAAGTAGGAGTAGCAAGACATACCTGTAATCTTGCATATTTATGAGACAGACAAAAGACACAAGCAATCCTACCATCATGTAAAACAATTACAGGCTTTTGTTTTACATTCACTTGGCAGGATGGTAGTACCTCCCTGGGCGGTTGCTGTCTACCATCCTACTACCTAGAACTCAGTAAACATGTTCCCCTATAATTTTTACAATCTCGTTTGTCCCACTGTTATACGAAGAAAAAAAAACTTTCCTAACTTCAAACAAAATTACGAAATAGTGTTCTACATAACCGAAATCATCTATGAGAAGTCAAATTATGCCTCACTTTCCATGGCTACAAATATTTAAGAGAAACAAAGGACAGTTGTTGCCTTTATGACAGCAAGATATCTCAATTGTCTTAAAAAATTATAAGGATACAAAACTATAGGTAGGAAGTTGCCAGACAGCAACCACATGTGTAAATTACTACATGTAAAAAGAAAACCTTTTTGTTTTCCTTTCTGAGTCACCCTGCCTCAGTGGGAGACACCCAGTGTGAAAAAACAACTAATTTTCAAGGATATGGGTATTCTTAATTTTATTTTACACTCAAATGATATAAAGATATAGATTATTACAACACACTGAGAATCTCACCTTTAGGAAGCATGTTGAATAGATAAGTAAGGAATGATGTCTGAGAGTCAGGAGTGCTTTGGCGTAAAGCTGACATGATGGTATCTACTTCTCGCCACAGCACTGGCTCAGGGGCAAACTCTCTTAATCTGATGATAGAAAACAACTCTCATTACAGACCTGAATAATAAATGAACTATTATCATCTACTCACCAAGGATAAAAAAAAATAGGATAATATATGCAGTTAAACTAGGCTTACTTCGTAAGAAATAAGACAACTACAGCCTCTCCTCACTTAACGACAGAATTCCATTCCTAAGACCACGTCATTAAATGAATTCATTGCTAAGTGAGGAACATACTATAATGGTAGTGGGTTTGTGTCAACCATCTTTGATATTTTTTTAATGTCACCTTTGCACCATTTATAAAATTTTTTGTATATTCTGAAATGTTTATACAGTAGTGTACTGTATATTGTAATAATACAAATAAAGGAAATCAGCTCTAATATACATTTTATTGATATGCATATTGGTCACAGAGCCTATTGTAAGTCCAAGTTGACAGTCAATAAGTACATCACTAAGTGAAGAGAGGTTGTATTTGACTTAAAACATACATAAGTTTAACCATTTTAAAAATATAGGAAGGGATTCAGGGTAACCAGTTACTGGACTTGAGTCCTGGAAATGGGAAGTACAATGCCTGCACTTTGAAGGAAGGGTTTAGGATATTGGCAGTTTGGGGGGACGTCTAACATGTATCTGAGGGCCTCTGCAAGCAAAGACAGTGATTATGTATGAGTGATGGTGAAAGTGCTGAATGGTGATGAAAGTTTTTTCTTTCTTTTTTGGGCTTTTCTTTCTTTTTGGGTCACCCTGCCTCGAAGGGAAATGGCAGACATGTTAAAAAAAAAAATGAATAAGAAAAATGCTATTTTGTTTTATATTATATTCATGACACTTAGACTATTAGTGAATAAGAAGTGTGTCCTAAGAACAGTCCTCATCCTGTATGAAACTTTTTAAGATTTTTTTACAGCACAATGCATAATTCAAATTCAAATATTTGTATCAAATTCACTATATATACAGAAAGATACCAAAATATTTACAGAAGGATAAAAGAACAAGAACTTATAGCAGAGTACATATTACAATACAGTGCTTACAGCAGGGAATCAGAATACAGTAGAGAACATTGCTTACAGCTGGAGGATAAGAATAGAGTACAGTACTTACAGCAGGGTACTGGAATACTTACAATACACCAAGGCATTTTGCTGCTTCTTTCACATTTTTAGCAGCCTTCTCAATCTGGTATACCTCAAACTGTCCAGTGAAAAGAAAAAGCCCACTTGGAGATTACAATTACCATAAAAGGCAATTAATAAACATCTGTCAGTGGGGTAACACAAAGAAATGCTCCAAAGCATTCCTACATTATACAGTACAGTACTGTTTATACATTTTCTTCTTTGTCTTTTTGTTCTTTCATATATGTAATACAAAATACCCCTTATTGTTAATATTCTACTGGTATGGATGTATAAATGTGATACATGTGATAGAGGCTAGGACCTTGGGTAGCTTTAAGAAGAGACTGGACAAATATATGAGTGGGAGGGGCTGGGTTTGATTGGTGTCAAGGGGTACGGGAGTTATTTCTTGAGTAGCTTTAGGTAGATGTCGTTTTGATAAGGACCTGCCTCGCATGGGCCAGTAGGCCTTCTGCAGTGTTCCTACATTCTTATGTTCTTAAATGTACATATTAGGTATCAGATATTAGGTTGATAAATGATGTAGTATATAGGCTGTGTAAGGAGCCAGGCTGTACATATTTAATCAAATGGTATACAACTCACCTGAATTCCAAAGTTCTTTGGAAACAGTGCTTGAGCCGTTATCATCCAGCATTTGGCTGCACATGGATCTTTTTTTTGCTGCTCCTTGGCCCGAAATATCAGATATTCTTCATCAGAGAGATGACTCAGTTCCTCATCTGGTGACATTACTGCAAAAATATTTTCTTCTTGAATATAGTATCTAGTATGAATATACAAAATGGAGACCATAATATATTTAAATCCTTTTGAGGAAATTCAGGGGTATTCTAGGTTAAATCATCATAAATATCACTCCTTTATATATAATGATTTTATGAAAATTCTAATCATTAAGTTTAAAATGTAGAATTATTATACTCATAAAGGATCATTAAACCTATAGGGGTCATAGGATATCTGGAAAATGAGATGTAATCATGTTTGATATAAGGAAAGTGGAAGACTGCATTCAGATTATTGACCTGGAGGGTTAGTAAACTAGGATAACCCAAAAAAACTACTCAGCCTGGTTTATTTCCATTAAGGTTCTTTAGTGAAGTAAATTTTATTTAGGTTCTCTTTCTTAGATTGCGACTCACAACAGTCAGCCGACATCTAGGCACCTAACCCGACCTAAAATAACCTAACATAACATTACTCTGCCAATAGTACCTGAATGTTGTGTGATACAACACAGTACTAAGCATTGATTGATTAATTCAGATATATTCAGCAACCAAATTAAATGTACAATTTTTGCTGAAATCTCTCAAAATAATAATTTCCAGAAGAAACACTTACTTATTCTGTAGTGTACATACACTATATGCTTTGTAAACTGATGCCAGACTTCTACCAAGTAGTAGATGCAAACCTTAGCACATACAGGACTGGTGTGCCTTAGTTTACAAGAAGTAATTTATTTTCATTTACATTTGCTGATTGGCCACAAAGATCAGTACTGTTCGAAAAATAAAAAAAAATATTTAGTTCTACAAAGCATACATAGATGTTATAATGAGTTTATTTCGATTACAAAGCTGATACACCTGACACAAAATTTATTTGATACATTGCATACACAAAAGAAAACAACTTAATATGTAAAGCATTTTAGACAAACTAATCCTGAAACTTACATACTACTTAACTTTAGTCCTAGCACATAATTATAGGCAATGAGTGGCAGAACAACATCAGTTATTTCGTCAAATTGTAGGGTAGTTGTGATTAAAAAATAGGCAGTAGGAGTAGACTTGCTGTTGAAAAGGAAATTACGTTAGTAAGTTTATTCAGGTATACACAAATACGGTTACATAGATTATCATACATAGCAACATATGTGTAGAGAACCCAGGATAAGTCAAAAGAGATGTATTTCCACTTGGGTCCTTCTCATTTCATGGAGTATGAAATTTTAAAAATGACAAAATGAATGTATTAATTTAGTTCACATTAATATATATCATTTAATTAAGATACAATGTAGGGAGTGGTGATGACAATAACTCCTGATTGCCCCTGTTGTGCTGACCCACCAAAACTAAGTGTTATTTTTTGCTAATAGCTAACACAATAATAATTTGCACATAAAAATGACAATACATGTATACCAGAGAATAGATTGCATATTTGTATTTGTGAACAGAAAATAATACAATTCCTCAAAAACCCATTTTTTTTTATTCTAATCATCTGAATTATACAGATTATTATTATAATCACAGGGAAGCTCTAAACCCGTAAGATTATACAGTGCATGTGAGGGGATGCAAGGTATTCAGGCTCAATTCAGGGAACCGGAGCACAGATCCAATTCCCTAGATCAAGAGCCCTTCACCAGCGACAAGGAACCTCCCTTGAGGGGGAATTATACAGAATCTTGTCCTTTATGCATTATACAGAAAAATAAACGCCTATTATATGACAATTAACGAAAATAAGTCACTGTGGCTATCCTAGGTAATTTACACATATATTACGATGTATGATAATTTGTGTAACTGTATTTATTTGTACCTGTACCTACATAAACTTACTTTGAAGGTGTTGTGTTTATTGTTGTTGTTACAGATGGTGTTGAGGGTTGTTAAGAGTCACAGAAGTTTACGCCTTGACCGCTGATGCTGACTTAAGATTTTGCTTGTGTTCCAGTTAAGGGGCAGCATAGGAAGGTGTACTCTGCTGTAGCTTCCCCTGCTGTCTGGACTTTATATATTGCTCAAAATCAAGGATTAAAGTATATCCCAAATCTAGGAAAATGAAGAGAAGGGAATAAGTGATATTAGAAAGTGAGGGACCCCAATGGAAATAAGTCACTTTGACTTTCTTGGGTTATACTAGGTTCTCTACACGTATGTTGCTATGTCTGATAATCTATGTAACGGTACTGGTGTATACCTGAATAAACTTACTTATTAGGGTGGATCTCCACGCTTAAAACTTGAGCAGCGAGAGATGTTTTAATGTAAAAAAGACACTTTTTGGGGAGGTTAACTTGGTTAATTTACACTAAGTATGATAATTGTACTTCTGTGTACCTGTGCCTAAATAAACTTACTTATATATTATTATCAAAACTAAGCGCTAAACCCTCTTACTTACACAATCCACCAGTTGATGACCGGCTTCCAATAGCCGTATAATATCCTAAGAACTGACCTTTTTCTTAAGTTTTTATATTTATCTGAAAGTTCTAAACAAGCAACAGTTATAATGATTCTATGCAACGGGAGGTAATCAGGTTGCCTTGGAAGAAAGGGAAAAATTTGCAATTCCTTGGCTCGAGAACTCTTCACCAGAATGAAGGCTCCTAAAATAAAGGAGTTCAGCTGAAGTTTTTAGTTTGTTGTGCCACCTGAGTGGTTCATCTTATGACCGGTAACACAAGAAAACAGAATTACAGAGGTCACAATGGTTCTATGTCAGCCCTCACTGGGCTGTTACATCACTAGAAAGGAATATTAGTCATTTTGTATAGCTGATGTACAGAATACAGTAAGGAATACAATCTCAACAAATTTATTTTTTTATAAAAACAAATTAGTTATAGCTGGGTAGCAATCTCTAGGATGACAGTTTATTTGGTGACAGTCGATGCAAAATGTGGATACAACCTCAACATTTCAGATCTTATCAATAACAATGAAGTGTTTTGCCATATCCAGTAAAGTTTAGATGGAAGTGTCTCTGAAAGGTTTAAAGTTTAGAGCCCAGCTCTGTGGGTTTGGGCAATGGTGTCCTCCTGGCCTAACTGTGAACTTTTGTTCCTACTTATTTTGCAAAGGAAAATCTTTCCCCATTTTCTTCATTGCCCAGCTTTAGAGATTTCTTTGCCAGGCAAGCCTTGGCGTATGGATATCTTGTTCTCACTTTGGGCTGGACAAATGTTCACCGTGCTCTCTGCGAAGCTCGTCACCAACTCCCATAGAAAATTAATTACTCATCTTGTTCCATTATATTTCTACTATAACTAACTTCCTGTATCTTCATCTATTTAATCACTCCACACAACTGAAGACAGTGAATCAGTTTGTAACAACAAATCATACTTTTAAAATAGTACCTTTCGTGTATTAGCTACGTTTCTCATTGTGCATATAATATGGTTAACTGTTTAAGAAATCCTAGGTTAGGTTAGGTTAGGTAAGGTAATGTTTGTCAGGAAACAGGACAAGTGTTTCCTGACGCAGGTCTTAGTCAGATGATGAACCGCCGTTGGACTTTTTGCTCATCTCACGGAGGCATTCCGCTGGCTTACCGGTTCACCCTTTAAAAAATTACGGTCATAGATAACCATTTAGTTTAAGAAATCCTACTTAACTGGAAATCATTTAATCTGTTTTAAATATTAATGCATACTTTAAAAATTGTACTGTTGTTCATTTAAATACTTCTGCTTTTGTACATTTAAGAAATCATACTCAATATCACTCTCTCAATATCACCCTATATCACTCTCTTATTTACCCCTATCTCACCTATGGAATTTGTGCATGGGGCTCAACAACAAGTAACCATCTCAGACCACTAATTACCCAACAAAAGGCTGCAGTTAGAATGATAACAAATTCTCACTATAGGCAGCACACTCCACCAATATTCAATACACTAAACCTATTCACCATACAAAACATTCATACTTATTACTGCACCTATTACTTTACATAGAACACTTAACTCTGATATTAACCCTCCCTCAAAACATCTCCTTGCCAACCTCAACAGAACACATGACCAAAAAACACAAGGCACAGATCACTCTTTGATGTTCCTCGTGTCCATCTCACACTATGCAAAAACTCAATGCACATAAAAGGCCCTAAAATTGGAACTCATTACCTGTAATTAAAAAGAAACCCCTACCTGTTTATAAATTCAAGTCTCTTCTCAAAGATCACTTACTCACCCAAAACCAAATAAATACTGAATAACTGAACCTTAAAAATTTGGGTATATTTTAAAATGTTTCTCACAATTATATCACATAAATGTTAAACCTAAAACCCAATCTAACTTTATATTTTTTTAAATACACTACCTAACAGAATACTCCATTCCACTGAATGTACAACAATGCATACAACCATATGACCTGTCTTTGTAATACTCACTTGTGCTTTATAGTAATCTGTTTACATTAATGTTTTTTATCACTGATGTCATCATTGCTTAGTTCATCTTAAGTTAATTTTAAGCCAGCCCGTAATGCTATGCATAGTATAAGTGGCTTTGGCATGCTGCTCTTATCTGTATTTTTTGTACCTCTGTATGTGTGCACAAATTTTTAAATAAATAAATAAATAAATAAATAATCTACGTCTAGTCAGGCACAAAAGAAGGCCAATACCATGCGGTTTGAGTTCAAGTTCCAAGTAGTTCACTGGCATAGTCCCGGCCCGGTTCTTGTCCATGAAGTGACCCAGCATGTGGTGCATATCCTAAGTAGTCTTTAAGTACTGGTATTAGTTTGGCCGAAAGGCATTACATAAGTGGTTTCCTTTTGTGCCAATTTTTATTACATACAAACTACATTATCTTTGTACTGCATAAATGAGAATTTGATTTTGAATATTAGCTTCACAGGAAGTGCACCATTCATCAGCTCAATTTTCCCACTTTGCGGATATACTATACAGTTTTAAACAGCCGGTTTCTAATCAGGTTTTGAGTGTGAATGTCCGGCTCTGTTGGCTTGACAAGAAGGGATCACATGCTTACTGGGAACTTGTTTCTTTTTATTCATCGCTTAACTTTGGTCAAAATCTTTCCCCATTAGATGTTCCATAACTCCATATACGCAGTCGCTCACACCCCTGAAGTCCGGAGACGAATCTCCTCCGGTACGGCTGGAAAATATTAGGGACGGTTTCCATAAGACACCCGCTGTCCCTTTGGGTTTACCCATCCAGTCTAAAATTGGTACCTGGATGATAGTCGACTGGTGTGCTTCGCATCCTGGACAAATGACCAAATTTACCGAATGCTCCCGACAATGCAAGGTCCAGGCGGACATCAACCAATCTTTCAGTGGGCTGCAGGGAAAAAAATATGAAGTTCAAAAGATGAGAAATTTCAATTACTCAGATATGGTAAACATGAGGAAAATTAAATCTTCATCAGAGTACAAAACAAATTCTGGCCACAAAATAGAGCGAAACACCAACGTCAAAGACCGGGAGTGATCATGGGTTTGGGGGATCTCACCTTCAAGGGCCCTAACATTGTATCAATCGCATCTGCTAGAAAAATGACAGGATTGGATAATGAGAACCTTCAAAACTAGGGAGGCCAAGCCCATGATGACACTCTTCAGGTCACTTGTTTATCTAGGCTGGAATATTGCTGCACACTAACAGCACCTTTCAAGGCAGGTGAAATTGCCGACCTAGAAAAAGTACAGAGAAACCCTTTACGACGCGCATAACGGGGATAAAACACCTCAATTTCTGGGGGCGCTTGAGGTTCCTAAAAACCCGTATTCCCTGGAACGCAGGCGGGAGAGATACATGATTATATACACCTGGAAAATCCTAGAGGGACTAGTACCGAACTTACACCGAAAATCACTCACTACGAAAGCAAAAGACTTGGCAGACGATGCAACATCCGCCCAATGAAAAGCAGGGGTGTCACTAGCACGTTAAGAGACCATACAATAAGTGTCAGGGGCCCGAGATTGTTCAACTGCCTCCCAGCATACATAAGGGGGATTACCAACAGACCCCTGGCAGTCTTCAAGCTGGCACTGGACAAGCACCTAAAGTCGGTTCCTGACCAGCCGGGCTGTGGCTCGTATGTTGGTTTGCGTGCATCCAGCAGTAACAGCCTGGTTGATCAGGTTCTGATCCACCAGGAGGCCTGGTCACAGACCGGGCCGCGGGGGCGTTGACCCCCGGAACTCTCTCCAGGTAGTAAATAAAGATATTATTATATAATTACCTCGGTCAGTCGGGGTCAATACTGCGCGTTACATCTGTGGCCCTTACAAACCCAACAAGGTGATGGAATTTCGAGACTTTGTTTAGTTTTCAGTCTTTTTTCCACTTAAATCTCGTTAAATATGGGTCAACGTGGATTAGGATTATTATTATTATTATAATCAAAAGGAAGCGCTAAAAGGGTGAACATGGAGTTAAAGTACTCGTGCATTATATTATGTAAAATACCAGCACATTATGTGTATCTTCTCTCGAGAGGTTTCTTGATGCTGGTAAGATAAGATTTTCTTCGGATTTTTAACCCCGGAGGGTTAGCCTCCCAGGATAACCCAAGAAAGTCAGTGCGTCATCGAGGACTGTAACTTATTTCCATTGGGGTCCTTAATCTTGTCCCCCAGGATGCGACCCACACCAGTCGACTAACACCCAGGTACCTATTTGCTGCTAGGTGAACGGGACGACAGATGAAAGGAAACACGTCGAATTGTTTCCACCCACCAGGAATCGAACCCGGGCCCTCCGTGTGTGAAGCGAGAGCATTAGCCACCAGGCCAGGCGGGGTTCTTGATCCAAGGAATTGGACCCGACTTCCCTTTCCTTGGATTGACCCTTAATGCCTCCCATTTTCCCGGGCATTTTACGACTACGGATTTAGCGTTCCCCATGAAAACATTAATATGTATACCCTGGCAACAGTTATTAAGCTAACAACCCATCCCGCTAACTGCTGTCACACTCACATGGGGTTTGTATCCCCTTGCTAAGTTAGGTTGGGTTAAGTTAGGTTACAATGAAAAACCTTAAATATAAAGTAAAAGATGATAAAGTCAGTCACATGAACAGAAAACGAACAGCCACTGAGAGGTGGCTTATATTAAAAGTCATATTTCAACTAGGTTTAGCGCTTCCTTTTGATTATAATAATAATCAAGGCTGTTAACATCCTTGAAGAGTTGAACTCTATAAATGGTTTAGAAAAACCTACAGAGAAGAATGGTGAAAGAAGAGTAGTTTGAGGTAATCAGTTCCTCAGCTTGGAGTCAATGTGTTCAGTCCATCAATCTGGATAAAAGTACAGCATATACGTACACAGAGAAGGGGCTTATATACTGCAGACAAGTGAGGCGAAGCAGTGATAGGGGGCATCACCAGTGGAAAAACCCGCTAGTGAAAGTAGGTCATGCCTATAGGTTAAACAAGCTTTGAAGAATTCCGTGCATCAAGATCCCTAGATGTTGCTGTGTCTGACAGAATTGTATAAATATTTTACAAAAATGACAACTTGATAAATTTGACACATACAACATTCGGGTATCCATTTACAACATGATACCAATTTACAAAGTGAAAGATAAACCCTTGGTTTCAAATAGAGCAATTAGCAATTCTACGCAGCATTGAATGATATACTTTGTTGACCAGATCTCAACACTTTTACAAAGGGAGTTTAGCTCTTCTATTATGTAAATTCTCCAGTATTCATTGGACTATGCAATGGAGACACTCATATTTTAGACAAATAGGATAAAAACTATTTTTTTGGTACAGCCATATATAGACTTAAGTAAGGCCTATAGTAATTTCACACAAAAGACCAATGAAGAAATGGTATAGGAGGAGAAATTATCTCCTAAATGGAAGCATGGCTGACCAGTAGACAACAGTGTACATAAAAGGGGAGAAATTAGAATGGGGGCCCATTACAAGTGATGTGCCATAGAGGACAGTATTGGGACCCCTTGTTTAAAATAGACATAAATGATAGATGAGGGAATAAAAAGAGGTACAGGCAGGCCCCCCCCACTTCACAATGTTTCGCTAATAAAGCAGCTTTCAATTATACCCATTCTTCATTTATTCAGACTTCCTGCAATAAATACATTCACCATTCACTATAATCTGAGGATGAAAATATTTTAAAGTAAATAATGTGTGTACTGTATATGCAGTTTTTTTAGGCCTAGCAATATTGCTCACTTGATATACGAGTGTAAATATATTATCAGGCTTTTATATGCATTTGAAAGTGAAAAAAAAGGCTGATTCACTTTACAGCTATGGTTGGTTTACAGCAGTAGCCTGGAACCTAACCTGCTTATAATTGGGGCCCTCTTTATAAGCAAGTTTGCTGATGACACTAAAACAAGTCTTCAAATAATTTCTGATGAGGACACTGGAGACTTACAGTATGATTGATTGTAGTCAGTCTAAATGAAACAGAGATTTGCTATAATTGGAGAGGGGTGTTGAAACCCTTGGGTTTTGGCTTCTTTTTGTTATTATAATAATAATTTAAAAGGGGGAGAGTAACTATATGTAGTAGTCTATAGATTTAAGATTTTTTATCTTTTATTTTGTTTTTTATCTCAGGACGCATTCAAAGGTAATTATTTGTATATAAAAAAACTTATAAAATGGGGATTTTTTTTTAAACTTTTTGTGCTTAAAAAAAAGTTTTTTTTTTTAACTTTAAAAGCCTTAATACAGTACCTGTTTTATTACATTCAGGAATAGCCATAATATGCTTCACATTGGAAAACTTTGCCTATTGGGCTTGCTGACTCAAGTAAGAACATCCAGTTCTCTACGTGAAGTTAGAAGTGCTGATGTTGCTTCTCCAAGAATAGGTAATTATTATTACAAGACATAAATTTCTTAGAATATTTATTATTTATTATCACACTGGCCGATTCCCACCAAGGCAGGGTGGCCCGAAAAAGAAAAACTTTCACCATCATTCACTCCATCACTACAGTTTTTAAACTGCAACATTAACACCCCTCCTTCAGAGTGCAGGCACTGTACTTCCCATCTCCAGAACTCAAGTCTGGCCTGCTGGTTTCCCTGAACCCCTTCATAAATGTTACTTTGCTCACACTCCAACAGCACGTCAAGTATTAAAAACCATTTGTCTCCATTCACTCCTATCAAACACGCTCAGGCATGCCTGCTGGAAGTCCAAGCCCCTCGCACACAAAACCTCCTTTACCCCCTCCCTCCAACCTTTCCTAGGCCACCCCTACCCCGCCTTCCTTCCACTACAGACGATACACTCTTGAAATCATTCTGTCTCGCTCCTTTTCTCTCTACATGTCCAAACCACCTCAACAACCCTTCCTCAGCCCTCTGGACAACAGTTTTGGTAATCCCGCACCTCCTCCTAACTTCCAAACTACGAATTCTCTGCATTATTTTCACACCACACATTGCCCTCAGACATGACATCTCCACTGCCTCCAGCCTTCTCCTCGCTGCAACATTCATCACCCATGCTTCACACCCATATAAGAGCGTTGGTAAAACTATACTCTCATACATTCCCCTCTTTGCCTCCAAGGACAAAGTTCTTTGTCTCCACAGACTCCCTTTTCATAGACCCATCTGCTGACACGTCCACTCCCAAATATCTGAATACATTCACCTCCTCCATACTCTCTCCCTCCAATCTGATATCCAATCTTTCATCACCTAATCTTTTTGTTATCCTCATAACCTTACTCTTTCCTGTATTCACTTTTAATTTTTTTCTTTTGCATACCCTACAAAATTAATAGACCAATCTCTGCAACTTCTCTTCAGAATCTCCCAAGAGCACAGTGTCATCAGCAAAGAGCAACTGTGACAACTCCCACTTTATGTGTGATTCTTTATCTTTTAACTCCACGCCTCTTGCCAATACCTTCGCATTTACTTCTCTTACAACCCCATCTATAAATATATTAAACAACCACGGTGACATCACACATCCTTGTCTGAGGCCTACTTTTACTGGCAAATAATTTCCCTTTTTCCTACATACTCTAACTTGAGCCTCACTATTCTCGTAAAAACTCTTCACTGCTTTCAGTAACCTACATCCTACACCATACAACCTGCAACATCTGCCACATTGTCCCCCTATCCACCCTGTCATACGCCTTTTTCCCAAATCCATAAATGCCACAAAGACCTTTTTAAAGCCTTATCTAAATACTGTTCACTTATGTGTTTCACTGTAAACACCTGGTCCACACACCCCCTACCTTTCCTAAAGCCTCCTTGTTCATCTGCTATCCTATTCTCCGTCTTACTCTTAATTCTTTCAATAATAACTCTACCATACACTTTACCAGGTATACTCAACAGACTTATTCCCCTATAATTTTTGCACTCTCTTTTGTCCCCTTTGCCTTTTATACAAAGGAACTATGCATGCTCTCTGCCAATCCCTAGGTACCTTACCTTCTTCCATACATTTATTAAATAATTGCACCAACCACTCCAAAACTAATCCCCACCTGCTTTTAACATTTCTATCTTTATCCCATCAATCCCGGCTGCCTTACCCCCTTTCATTTTACCTACTGCCTCACGAACTTCCCCCACACTCACAACTGGCTCTTCCTCACACCTACAAGATGTTATTCCTCCTTGCCCTATACACGAAATCACAGCTTCCCTAACTTCATCAGCGTTTAACAATTCCTCGAAATATTCCCTCCATCTTCCCAATACCTCTAACTCTCCATTTAATAACTCTCCTCTCCTATTTTTAACTGACAAATCCATTTTTTCTCTAGGCTTCCTTAACTTGTTAATCTCACTCCAAAACTTTTTCTTATTTTCAACAAAATTTGTTGATAACATCTCACCCACTCTCTCATTTGCTCTCTTTTTACATTGCTTCACCACTCTCTTAACCTCTCTCTTTTTCTCCATATACTCTTCCCTCCTTGCATCACTTCTACTTTGTAAAAACTTCTCATATGCTAACTTTTTCTCCCTTACTACTCTCTTTACATCATCATTCCACCAATCGCTCCTCTTCCCTCCCGCACCCACCTTCCTGTAACCACAAACTTCTGCTGAACACTCCAACACTACATTTTTAAACCTACCCCATACCTCTTCGATCCCATTGCCTATGCTCTCATTAGCCCATCTATCCTCCAATAGCTGTTTATATCTTACCCTAACTGCCTCCTCTTTTAGTTTATAAACCTTCACCTCTATCTTCCCCGATGCTTCTATTCTCCTTGTATCCCATCTACCTTTTACTCTCAGTGTAGCTACAACTAGAAAGTGATCTGATATATCTGTGGCCCCTCTATAAACATGTACATCCTGAAGTCTACTCAACAGTCTTTTATCTACCAATACATAATCCAACAAACTACTGTCATTTCGCCCTACATCATATCTTGTATACTTATTTATCCTCTTTTTCTTAAAATATGTATTACCTATAACTAACCCCTTTCTATACAAAGTTCAATCAAGGGCTCCCATTTTCATTTACACCTGGCACCCCAAACTTACCTACCACACCCCTCTAAAAAGTTTCTCCTACTTTAGCATTCAGATCCCCTACCACAATTACTCTCTCACTTGGTTCAAAGGCTCCTATACATTCACTTAACATCTCCCAAAATCTCTCTCTCTCCTCTACATTCCTCTCTTCTCCAGGTGCATACACGCTTATTATGACCCACTTTTCGCATCCAACCTTTACTGTAATCCACATAATTCTTGAATTTACACATTCATATTCTCTTTTCTCCTTCCATAAACTGATCCTTCAACATTACTGCTACCCCTTCCTTTGCTCTAACTCTCTCAGATACTCCAGATTTAATCCCATTTATTTCCCCCCACCGAAACTCGCCTACCCCCTTCAGCTTTGTTTCGCTTAGGGCCAGGACATCCAACTTCTTTTCATTCATAACATCAGCAATCATCTGTTTCTTGTCATCCGCACTACATCCATGCACATTCAAGCATCCCAGTTTTATAAAGTTTTTCTTCTTCTCTTTTTTAGTAAATGTCTACAGGAGAAGGGTTACTAGCCCATTGCTCCGGGCATTTTAGTCGCCTCATACGACCACGCATGGCTTACGGAGGAAAGATTCTTTTCCACTTCCCCATGGACAATAGAAGAAATAAAGAAGAACAAGAGCTATTTAGAAAAAGGAGAAAAACCTAGATGTATGTATATATATATGCATGTGCGTGTATGTGAAGTGTGACCAAAGTGTAAGTAGGAGTAGCAAGATATCCCTGTTATCTAGCGTGTTTATGAGACAGAAAAAGAAATCGGCAATCCTTCCATCATGCAAAACAGTTACAGGTTTCTGTTTCGCAGTCATCTGGCAGGACGGTAGTACTTCCCTGGGTGGTTGCTGTCTACCAATTTTAACTGTATTTTTCGTGCATGCTTAAGTGATCTGTTAAGAGAATTAGAGACTTTTCATTTTTTTTTAACCTCACAGAGCAAGCAACCCATGCAGATGTTTCATATTCTTTGGTGTAGTAAGGGTGCCAAATCCTGAGATATATGTATACACTAACATCGTAACACACATTACTATATGACCCACATGGGTTTGACACATTTTTGTGAATATATATAGTGATAATAATTAAAATGTATGGAAGAGGGTAAGGTACCTAGGGAATGGCAGAGAGCATGCATAGTTCCTTTGTATAAAGGCAAAGGGGACAAAAGAGAGTGCAAAAATTATAGGAGGATAAGTCTGTTGAGTATACCTGGTAAAGTGTATGGTAGAGTTATTATTGAAAGAATTAAGAGTAAGATGGAAAATAGGATAGCAGATGAACAAGGAGGCTTTAGGAAAGGTAGGGGGTGTGTGGACCAGGTGTTTACAGTGAAACATATAAGTGAACAGTATTTAGATAAGGCTAAAGAGGTCTTTGTGGCATTTATGGATTTGGAAAAGGCGTATGACAGGGTGGATAGGGGGGCAATGTGGCAGATGTTGCAGGGTATGGTGTAGGAGGTAGGTTACTGAAAGCAGTGAAGAGTTTTTACGAGAATAGTGAGGCTCAAGTTAGAGTATGTAGGAAAAAGGGAAATTATTTCCCAGTAAAAGTAGGCCTTAGACAAGGATGTGTGATGTCACCGTGGTTGTTTAATATATTTATAGATGGGGTTGTAAGAGAAGTAAATGCGAGGGTCTTGGCAAGAGGCATGGAGTTAAAAGATAAAGAATCACACATAAAGTGGGAGTTGTCACAGTTGCTCTTTGCTGATGACACTGTGCTCTTGGGAGATTCTGAAGAGAAGTTGCAGAGATTGGTGGATGAATTTGGTAGGGTATGCAAAAGAAAAAAATTAAAAGTGAATACAGTGGACCCTCGACTAACGCTATTAATCCATTCCTGAGAGCTCATCGTTAGTCAAAATTATCGTTAGTCAAGTTAATTTTCCCCATAAGAAATAATGGAAATCAAATTAATCCATGTAGGACACCCCAAAGTATGAAAAAAAAATTTTTTTTTACCACATGAAATATTAATTTTAATACACACAAACTGAAGAAGACATGCACAGTTACATGACACTTACCTTTATTGAAGATCTGGTGATGATTGTTGGGATGGGAGGAGGGCAGATTGTTGATGGTCTTAGTGTTTAGAAGGGGAATCCCCTTCCATTAGGACTTGAGGTGGCAAGTCCTTTTCCGGGGTTACTTCCCTTCCCTTTAAATCTCTCAAACCAACCTTTGCTGGCCTTAAATTCACTCACATCACCACTAGTTGCTGGCATTTTTTTCATTAAATCGTCATGCAACTTCCTAGCCTTTTCACATATGATCGCTTGAGAGATGCTATCTCCTGCTATCTGCTTTTCGTTTATCCACACCAATAACAGTCTCTCAACATCATCGAGTACTTGCTATCTCAGTTTCGAAAACATAGTTGCACCTTTGGCAAGAACAGCTTCCTTGATTGCTGTTTTCTTGGCCACAATAGTAGCGATGGTTGATTGGGGTTTTGTGTACAACCTGGCCAGCTCGGAGACACGCACTCCACTTTCATACTTAGCAATGATCTCTTTCTTCATATCCATAGTAATTCTCACCCTTTTTGCTGTAGGGTTGGCACTAGAAGATTTCTTGGGGCCCATGGTGACTTATTTTGCAGGTGCAATCACTAAAAAGGCTGTGATAACATGACATGTTCTGATTGTATGCTTGGAAGCGACCGCGGTGGCTGGCTGGCTTGTAAACACTGGCCAGAAGTGGACGCGTCTGACGGAACAAATAGTGTTGGTCGAGTTTTTTAGCGCTAGTCGAGGCAAAAATTTGCGTTAAAATGTATCGCTAGTCGGATTTATCGTTAATCAATGCCATCGTTGGTTGAGGGTCCACTGTACAGGAAAGAGTAAGGTTATGAGGATAACAAAAAGATTAGGTGATGAAAGATTGGATATCAGATTGGAGGGAGAGAGTATAGAGGAGGTGAATGTATTCAGATATTTGGGAGTGGACGTGTCAGCGGATGGGTCTATGAAAGATGAGGTGAATCATAGAATTGATGAGGGGAAAAGGGTGAGTAGTGCACTTAGGAGTCTGCGGAGACAAAGAACTTTGTCCTTGGAGCAAAGAGGGGAATGTATGAGAGTATAGTTTTACCAACGCTCTTATATGGGTGTGAAGCATGGGTGATGAATGTTGCAGCGAGGAGAAGGCTGGAGGCAGTGGAGATGTCATGTCTGAGGACAATGTGTGGTGTGAATATAATGCAGAGAATTCGTAGTTTGGAAGTTAGGAGGAGGTGCGGGATTACCAAAACTTGTCCAGAGGGCTGAGGAAGGGTTGTTGAGGTGGTTCAGACATGTAGAGAGAATGGAGCAAAACAGAGTGACTTCAAGAGTGTATCAGTCTGTAGTGGAAGGAAGGCGGGGTAGGGGTTGGCCTAGGAAAGGTTGGAGGGAGGGGGTAAAGGAGGTTTTGTGTGCGAGGGGCTTGGACTTCCAGCAGGCATGCGTGAGCATGTTTGATAGGAGTGAATGGAGACAAATGGTTTTTAATACTTGATGTGCTGTTGGAGTGTGAGCAAAGTAACATTTATGAAGGGGTTCAGGGAAACCGGCAGGCCAGACTCGAGTCCTGGAGATGGGAAGTACAGTGCCTGCACTCTGAAGGAGGGGTGTTAATGTTGCAGTTTAAAAACTGTAGTGTAAAGCACCCTTCTGGCAAGACAGTGATGGAGTGAATGATGGTGAAAGTTTTTCTTTTTCGAGCCACCCTGCCTTGGTGGGAATCGGCCAGTGTGATAATAAAAATAAAAAATAATTAAAACACATTGGCCCAGAGGTACAACAGATGGCTGTAGGGTTGGTGGTGATTAAACCTAAAATGAGTTGGCTGATATGCTGCTGATTGTAGTAAGAAGTAAATGTCTACTTTTGGCTAGGTTGATAGTGCTTAGCTTACGTAGTGAGTGTCAGTGGTTCAATCCCTGGCAGGGGTGGAAATGTCAGGCATGTTTCTTCATACCTGCTGCCCCTGTGGGTGCCTGGGTGTTAGTCAACTGTTGCAAGTCACTTTCAGGGGGACAGGATTACAGGACCCAAGTAGAAATAAGAAAGATAGTCATCCATGACATGCTGACTTTATCGTGTTATCCTGGGTAGTTAACCTTCTGGGTTAAAAGTCCAAACAAAATCCTGTCTTATCTTATCTTAACACTAAATCAGGCTTGGGCCAAAGATTCCCCTATAGAATATTCCCATACAGCATTATTATGAATCAGTACTTAGGTTATGTCAGTAATCACCATAATAAATAATAATGATGATATATGATATAAAAATGATAAACTTTATTTCTGCAAAGTACAATTTACAATAGATTTACTAATGGTTGACAATAGTGAATCTATTGAAAGCCCCTGGTTAATGCAGAGCATTTAGAGCAGCCTCAGAATAAACTTATAATTGCACTACTGGAATTTTTTGCAAAACATTATTAGAATTTTTTGTAAAACTATTTTTTTTAGTGAATTTTGATAAGAACGTTCATCTTGTATAGCAAGCATGTGACAAAGCTGCTGCAAAGCCATATACTCCAAAAAACAAATAATGTTAAATGTCTTAATTAATAATTACATACCTGTGAAATATAAGAGAGCAAACATTAAATATTTGAATACTCATGATAATCCCTGAGGATGTAAATGTAAGTGTAAGCAGTAGTGAAAGAACATGATATATGCATTTGCATTAATCAGTAATAATATGTATTTATTCCAGCAATTATTGGTGGTGGTATAGGAGGCACATCAACAGCTTATTTCTTAAAGGAGCTGTTTGGAGACAATGCCAGCATTGATGTTTATGAATCTGAAAAGATTGGAGGACGGCTGGCTACTATCCCAATAGCGGGAGATGATTATGAGGTTGGAGGCACTGTTATTCATCCCAAGAATCAGTATATGATGGATTTTGTATCAAAATTTGGTAAGGGTATACTTTTATTTTTTTATTTACTGTACTTTAACATGTAGAACATTTTTGTTTCTAGCATTCAGTTTGTGTCCATCAAGTCAGTAAATTATGGGCATGAGAAGAAAGAAATTTTTAGATAAATGAACCTTAAAGTAGCCAAATGCTCTAGGGGTAGACTTAAGGCATGTTAAAATTGCATATCTTGTGACACATAAGAAAGATATCTTGTTTCTTTCTCCATTAACTTTTATGCACACACACATTTTCAGGTGGTGAACGTGTCTGTGCTTGAATGCATGCGTGCATTTACCTAGTTGTACTTGCAGATGTTGAGTCATAGGTCCTGGTCCAGTATCTTGATTTCTATTGACAGACTTTACCAATTCCTGAATTTCAGGGCCTGATCATCTCTGGAATCATGTACAGTATAATGTTTGCTTCCACCACCTCTTCAGTACTTTTCACTTACCACTGTAAAACTGATAAAGTAACTTATTGTCCCTATGGCTAACATGCATCCTTTGCTGCTATTTATGTTTTGTGGGCTACCTTTTATGACATCTCAATAAAAATTAGGTCAGAATGACCTAATTTTATATCAGAAAAATGGATAATGAATATATTAGAAAATGGGTTGATGAAAGAAGTAAATTATGACAGACAATAGCAAGAAATTTGCAGAAGTGTCAAGTTTTGGGTAAAAATGAAGTTTGTCATTAGATGTAAAAATGGAAATGTATGAGGGTATAGTGGTGCTTGCACTTTTGTATAGTGTTAACTACAGTCTTTAAATGTTGCAGCAAGGAGAAGGAATACTTAAATAAGAAGAATGAAGAGTAGAAATGAGGTTTTTGAGATGGTTTAGTCATGCAGAAAAAGTAGAATAGATTGTTAAAGGTGTGCAAACATCTTTGAGTATATACAAGGGATGGAATTGGTTAGTTGATATCTTCAAATCAGGCCTCCTCAAGGAAATTTCCTTGAAAATGGTGAGAGTCTCTTTATCAGAGGAATTAGACCCGACTTTCCTCTTCCTAGGATCAAATCTGATTGCCTTCTATTCCCCAGGGACTATGTAAACCCTCTGGGTTTAGTTTTCCCCTCCTAAATATAATAATTCAGATCAGGCCATATATATTTTGTTAAGTAAGTTTATTCAGGTATACAGAAATACAGTTACACTGATTATCATACATAGCAGTATATGTGTCGAGAACCTAGGATAACCCAGAAAAGTCAGACAGAGTGACTTGTTTCCATTGGGGTCCTTTTAATACCTTATTATTATAATATAAAGGATATAGTGTTGGAGTGGTTGGTACTTTTGTTTAATAAATGTATGAAAGAGGGGAAAGTACCTAGGGATTGGTGGAGAGCATGTATAGTCCCTTTATATAAAGGGAAAGGGGACAAAAGAGATTGTAAAAATTATAGAGGAATAAGTTTACTGAGTATACCAGGAAAAGTATACGGTAGGGTTATAATTGAAAGAATTAGAGGTAAGACAGAATGTAGGATTGCGAATGAGCAGGGAGGCTTCAGAGTGGGTAGGGGATGTGTAGATCAAGTGTTTACATTGAAGCATATATGTGAACAGTATTTAGATAAAGGTAGGGAAGTTTTTATTGCATTTATGGATTTAGAAAAGACATATGAAAGAGTGGATAGAGGAGCAATGTGGCAGATGTTGCAAGTATATGGAATAGGTGGTAAGTTACTAAATGCTGTAAAGAGCTTTTATGAGGATAGTGAGGCTCAGGTTAGGGTATGTAGAAGAGAGGGAGAATACTTCCCGGTAAAAGTAGGTCTTAGACAGGGATGTGTAATGTCACCATGGTTGTTTAATATATTTATAGATGGGGTTGTAAAAGAAGTAAATGCTAGGGTGTTCGGGAGAATGGTGGGATTAAATTATGGGGAATCAAATTCAAAATGGGAACTGATACACTTACTTTTTGCTGATGATACTGTGCTTATGGGAGAGTCTAAAGAAAAATTGCAAAGGTTAGTGGATGAGTTTGAGAATGTGTGTAAAGGTAGAAAGTTGAAAGTGAACATAGAAAAGAGTAAGGTGATGAGGGTATCAAATGATTTAGATAAAGAAAAATTGGATATCAAATTGGGGAGGAGGAGTATGGAAGAAGTGAATGTTTTCAGATACTTGGGAGTTGACGTGTCGGCGGATGGATTTATGAAGGATGAGGTTAATCATAGAATTGATGAGGGAAAAAAGGTGAGTGGTGCATTGAGGTATATATAGAGTCAAAAAACGTTATCTATGGAGGCAAAGAAGGGAATGTATGAAAGTATAGTAGTACCAACACTCTTATATGGATGTGAAGCTTGGGTGGTAAATGCAGCAGTGAGGAGACGGTTGGAGGCAGTGGAGATGTCCTGTCTAAGGGCAATGTGTGGTGTAAATATTATGCAGAAAATTCAGAGTGTGGAAATCAGGAGAAGGTGTGAGTTAATAAAAGCATTAGTCAGAGGGCAGAAGAGGGGTTGTTGAGGTGGTTTGGTCATTTAGAGAGAATGGATCAAAGTAGAATGACATGGAAAGCATATAAATCTATAGGGGAAGGAAGGAGGGGTAGGGGTCGTCCTCAAAAGGGTTGGAAAGAGGGGGTAAAGGAGGTTTTGTGGGCACGGGGCTTGGACTTCCAGCAAGCGTGCATGAGCGTGTTAGATAGGAGTGAATGGAGACGAATGATACTTGGGACCTGACGATCTGTTGGAGTGTGAGCAGGGTAATATTTAGTGAAGGGATTCAGGGAAACCGGTTATTTTCATATAGTCGGACTTGAGTCCTGGAAATGGGAAGTACAATGCCTGCACTTTAAAGGAGGGGTTTGGGATATTGGCAGTTTGGAGGGATATGTTGTGTATCTTTATATGTGTATGCTTCTAAACTGTTGTATTCTGAGCACCTCTGCAAAAGCAGTGATAATGTGTGAGTGTGGTGAAAGTGTTGAATGATGATGAAAGTATTTTCTTTTTGGGGATTTTCGTCTTTTTTGGGTCACCCTGCCTCGGTGGGAGATGACCAACTTGTTGGGAAAAAAAAAAAATAAAGGATATGCAGTACATGTGTACTAGGATGAATTAAAAGGTATATAGAAGATTGTTAGTAGACATTAACATGGATGTTTTTCGAAACGTTTGTAAATATCTTCTTCATCTCAATTTACTTGAAGACAAATCAGTCCATTCACTTAAATTTTGAATGTATCCCTCAGTGAAACATTGTATCCGTTTCTGAAACAATATGAAGATGAAGTGACAGGATATGGGGGTTTTAATAGGGCCAGGAATAGTGTTAGTTGCTTTGGGAGGATTCTCAAACCCAGGCCGTCTCATCTAGTATGAGGTGGGATGGTCTACGTCCTTGTGTTGATTCTGACAGATGAAATCTAACAAAGGGTTAAAATACGTGAAGATGTTAGCTTCCAAAATGCAAAATATTTTTTTTTTTTTTTAACAGTCGGACGTTTTCTGACCACTAAAGCTACTGTGTGCAAAACGTTTGAAAGTAAAATATAACTTTGCATATTGTTTATAAATCTGGTATTTTTACATTTTAATGTTCATTCGTCAGAGCTGCAACACAAGGGTATTGGTACAGACCATCACTTCGATTACTAGTGGGAACGGTAAGGTTTGGGGGACTGCCTCCCAAAGCACCTATCTCACCTCCTCCACTTGGCCTGCACTTCTTCAATTGCAAAGGAAAATCTTTCTAAAGGTATGACATCTTCAAATTTAATCATGATATTAATTGTCTTATATTTTTTCTATAACTTTTCTGTATGTAAAAACTTTTAGGCGAAACTTCAATAAAAACAATGTTTTTTTTTTTTGTTTTATACCAAAGTCATCTGTCTCCCAGGGACTGGGTAGACCACAAAAAAGGAAAGTAAATCCCCCAAAAGAATATCTTTCATCACTATTAAACTTTTTACCTGTCACTTCACTTCATTATTGTTTTCAGAGGCTAAGGAACAGTTTAGAAGGACTACCACCTATAAATTACACATGGACTATCCTACAACGTCTCAATATTCCCATAACTTTTATACTCGTGAAGGATTGTACTCTGTAGGAAACGTCGAAATAATGATACTAACTGGTTTCATGAATTCTTCCTAAAATGTTACTTTGATACCTTTTAAGTTCAGTCAACATGCACACAAGTACCTTGTACGACCATCACTCCCTTATATGAGAACGCTGGTTGAGGGGACCTGCCTCCAAGCACCTATCTCACCTCCGGACATAAAGCTCCTCCTGTCACTCAACTTCATATTGTTTCAGACACAACAATGTTTCTCCAGACTGAGGGACTGACCACCTCAAAACTTTAAGGGTGATGGACTGATTACATCGTCTTCAAGTATCTTCTGCTTCTATCAACTTTTCTGTACTCGACTGAAGAAGCCTACTGTGTAGGCGAAACGTTTCGAAATAAAGATACCTAACTGTTGCATATGTGTCTTACCTAACAATGTGTACTAGGAATAAGGTAAAAAGAGTTATTTACATTTACATGAGTGTTAGCTAAAAAAATGAAAAATCATTCTTCTCTCATTTATTAGACAAAAATGGTCACATTTATTTATTTTGAATACTACTCGATACAGTAAACATTTAATATTTCAGGACTACAAAAAAGACAGAGCTGTACAGGAAGTATGGGGTTGTTCAATGGTAAAGAATATGTGTTCCAAGATAGCTCCTGGGAAATTATCACCCTGGCCAAACTCATTTTGAGATATGGGTGGGATGTCTATCGTCTTCATGAACTGACAGAGGAAATGCTAACAAAGTTTAACAGGTAAGGTGAAATGTTACTTCCTAAAATGGCAAAATATTTTTTTTTTTTTAACACGTCGGCCGTTTCCCACCAAGGCAGGGTGACCCAAAAAGAAAGAAAAAACTTTCATGATTATGAAAGGATGTGCAGAAGTTGTTCAGTGAGTGTAGCCCAGGGGGCTACACTACACAGAGGGGAGAGGAAGTTGGGGATTCCCATCTCCCTCTCCCCTCCTGCCTTCTTCAATATGCAAAGAAGAGTCTTCAGTAAAGGTATGTAATGTTCATTTATCATTAAAATTTGTGCTTTATATTTATTTCTCATTGTTTTCTGTATGTAAAACTGTAGCTAATCTTTAAAAAATTTTTTTTTTTTTTTCAACAAGTCGGCCATCTCCCACCGAGGCAGGGTGACCCAAAAAAGAAAGAAAATCCCCAAAAAGAAAATACTTTCATCACTATTCAACACTTTCACCACACTCGCACATTATCACTGTTTTTGCAGAGGTGCTAAGAATAGAACAGTTTAGAAGCATACACATATAAATATACACAACATATCCCTCCAAACTGCCAATATCCCAAACCCCTCCTTTAAAGTGCAGGCATTGTACTTCCCATTTCCAGGACTCAAGTCCGACTATATGAAAATAACCGGTTTCCCTGAATCCCTTCACTAAATATTACCTTGCTCACACTCCAACAGATCGTCAGGTCCCAAGTACCATTCGTCTCCATTCACTCCTATCTAACACGCTTACGCACGCTTGCTGGAAGTCCAAGCCCCTTGCCCACAAAACCTCCTTTACCCCCTCTCTCCAACCCTTTCGAGGACGACCCCTACCTCGCCTTCCTTCCCCTATAGACTATATGCTTTCCAGTCATTCTACTTTGATCCATTCTCTCTAATATGACCAAACACACCTCAACAACCTCTTCTGCCCCTGACTAATACTTTATTAACTCCACACCTTTTCCTAATTTTCCACACTCCGAATTTTCTGCATAATATTACACCACACATTGCCCTTAAACAGGACATCTCCACTGCCTCCAACCGTCTCCTCGCTGCTGCATTTACCACCCAAGCTTCACACCCATATAAGAGTGTTGGTACACTAATACTTTCATACATTCCCTTCTTTGCTCCATAGATAACTGTTTTTTGACTCCCCATATACCTCAACCCACCACTCACTATTTCCCTCATCAATTCTATGATTAACCTCATCCTTCATAAATCCATCCGCCGACACATCAACTCCCAAGTATCTGAAAACATTCACTTCTTCCATACTCCTCCTCCCCAATTTGATATCCAATTTTTCTTTATCTAAATCATTTGATACCCTCATCACCTTACTCTTTTCTATGTTCACTTTCAACTTTCTACCTTTACACACATTCCCAAACTCAACCACTAACCTTTGTAATTTTTCTTTAGAATCTCCCATAAGCACAGCATCATCAGCAAAAAGTAACTGTGTCAATTCCCATTTTGAATTTGATTCCCCAAAATTTAATCCCACCCCTCTCCCGAATATTTTTGGGTGTTTGAAACAGATTAATTGGATTTACATTAATTTTTATGGGAAATATTATTTCGGTTTTCGGTCTTTTCGGATTTAGGCCGACCTTCTGGAACGGATTACAGCAGAAAATTCTGGTTCATACCGAGTTCTCTGCATGCTTCTTTTTGGAGATGTATTTATGAGATGTGACCTAAACCTAAATTTGTTACTTTTTTCACATATATAACAAATAAACTCCAATTTAATGTTTTATAATAACCCATAAATAGATTAGTGATATAACCCAAAAAGGCCCACAGTGACCCGTGGCCTGGTGCCAAAAACTCTTGCTTCACATGCTGAGGGTCTGGGTTCGATTCCCGGCAAGGGTGGAAACATTGGGCATGTTTCCATACACCAGTTGTCCATGTTCACCCATCAGTAAAAATGGGTAGCTGGGTGTTAGTTTACTGGTGTGGGTCACATCCTGGGACAAAACTGACCTAATTTGCCCAAAAGGCTCTGCATAATGAGCGACTTTCTGTATAGTGTGTCATTGATATCAGCTAGGCCTGTATACTTTGTACATGTATTATTATTAACACATCGGCCATCTCCCACCAAGGCACAGTGGCCCAAAAAAGAAAAACTTTCATCATTCACTCCACTGTCTTGCCAGAGGCGTGCTTACACTACAGTTATAAAACTGCAACATTAACACCCCTCCTTCAGAGTGCAGACACTGTACTTCCCATCTCCAGGACTCATGTCTGGCCTGCCAGTTTCCCTGAATCCCTTCATATATGTTACCTTGCTCACACTCTAACAGCACATCAAGTCCTAAAAACCATTTGTCTCCAATTGCTCCTGTCTATTATTATTATTATTATAAGAATGTTCATGGATATCATTATTTTTAGTTAAACATTAAAATTTGTCACATTCAAACTGTAAGATGTAAATAAAGATGTACATACCTTACTAAATAATTTACACTCAGTAATTGAAAGTGCACTATTTCAGTCTCAACACCTGACAAGAGTGCCAGTAGAAGCTAATTACATACAGTGGACCCCCGGTTAACGATATTTTTTCACTCCAGAAGTATGTTCAGGTGCCAGTACTGACCGAATTTGTTCCCATAAGAAATATTGTGAAGTAGATTAGTCCATTTCAGTCCCCCAAACATACACGTACAAACGCACTTACATAAATACACTTACATAATTGGTCGCATTCAGAGGTAATCGTTATGCGGGGGTCCACTGTATATTGGTCTGTCACATGACTGGCCGTTAACAATTTTTTTATATACCTGGGATCAGTTTCTGGACCTACTTTGGCAAAGAAAGTTGATTTCTGGGCATAGTACATGACTGGCTGAGTAAGTTAAGCAGTAAGTTAAGGGTGGGAAGAAAGGGATAAGGCAGAGATGCAACCAGGTGGAAGGGGGCAGGGTAAAATATGGACTTGCAGGGAGGTGGGAGGGAGCAAAGGTGTATTGTGGTCAGGACAGAGAAGGGAAACTGAAGCATTGGGGAGATGAGAGAAGGGAAATGGGGAGAAAGGAAGACTTGAGTAGGGAAAGATAAAGGGTGGAAATTGGGAGGTTAAGGGAGTGAAATCGAGAGAGAAAAAAGGACATATTATTGCATTATATTTCTTGGGAAGTGCTAAACCTGTAGGAGTTTTATAGCATGTGGTGAATGTGAGATAATCAAATTTGATCAAAGGAAAGGTAGGGGCTCCAATTCCATGGATCTAAATCTCTTTGCTGGGATAGAGCAATAGAGGGTACAGCAAAAGAGGAAGAGGGAGAGAGGGGAAATAGAAAAGGAGGTTCAATTTAGATTTTATCAATGAAGCAGCTAATTTGTGCACTGCATAACCATCCTGTGGAAGGTGGCACTAAAAGGGTTAATTGCCAGGAAAAGGGAATGATGGAGGGGAGAGAGAAAGGAAGAAGGGGTAGGAAGGTGGTTGTGCTACAATTCTTAGACCTGTGACATGACAAGTTGAGGTAGATAAACTAGTTTCTAGACCTACCACATGCCTAGCTGTTTTTGAGGATTTGATAAATATTGGTGTGCAGATGGGTGGCAGATGAATGTGGTGAACCTGGGAATGGAGTGTAGCTTTAATTCCTTATATCAAGATCCCTTCACTAGTATCAAGGCAGCCCTCCCCTTGAAGGGGGTCTCAGCCTGAGCAGATACACCACAGTAGTCATAATTACTATAGTATTAAAAACCAAACGTGCTAAACCCATATGGGTCATAGATCATATAGGGTGATAGCTATGTGGTAGACTCATGAACTGTAGTTCTTCCATAGCTAGCCATATGGGTAGGTTCTGTAAGTGTAGTTATATTTCCCCAGGCAGAATGTGGTAGGTGCAGGAAGTGTAGGTCAGCTCCCTTAGCCAATTATGTGGTTGGTATTTTATTATATTCATGAAAAGTTCTAAGCCAGGGTCATTCAGTGTTGCACAGCAGAGGTAAAAGATGGTAGGGATGGAGGAGAGGCAGAGAGGGGTGTGTTGAGGATAGGGAGGACATCAACAAAAAGGATTCGTCCAAAAAATTGGTTGTGATTGAGGGCAAGTTATTGTAGATAATGTTCTAGAGCACAGTGCTCACATCACTCCCAAACCGGTAACTGCTTTTTGGTTAACTGAAAATTGGCTAGAAATGCAAGGTTTTTAAAGTTTTGCAGTGATATTATGTGGTGTATTGGTATTAATACTGTCTTTTTTATTTTTTTAACACAAAATAATTTGTTATTGTCTACTGTTAATGAATACAACTTGCTAATGTGTAAAACCCGTTTCAGCATTTTCAAATTTTTTTTTTTCTTGATCATGCCTTGCTTTTTAATGCCATTTTCAATATTACTATTTTTTTCAGGATTTATACTCTTCAATCAGAAGGACATGCATATCATGATGTGGCTTCCTTACTTTATGCCATGGATCCAAAGTTCGTAGAGATGACAAAGAAATCTTCAGCAGTCTGGCTTAAAGAGTTAGGGTTCAGTGATCTGATCATCAATGAACTAGTTACGGCTGTTACTCAGTGTAATTATGGCCAGACTCCTAATGTTCATGCTTTTGTTGGTAAGTACAGATAATGGTAAGAGAAAGCTAAAATTGGTTATATGCTCATCATCCTCATCTGTTGCCATATTTCAGAACTTATGACTAGAGGTGTCTGAAAGTTTTCGAAGGTGGCAGTATGTGGGATTGAGTAAGAAGAGTCATTCACTTTTAAATGAGACACATAATCCACCCTTCTGTATTTTCCTTAAATTGTCATTTATTTGTCTCCTGAGAATATGGAAATTAGAGGTGTAATGTGTAAGTCTTTTGTATACACTTGACTCAGGTTTGCTGGTAGGGTTCTCCAAAAAATATTTGGATAACTTTAAGAAAAAATTAAGAGAATTGTATGAGTTGCTTTATATGCATTGCTATGTTACCTACCTGGATTGTGCTTTGTGTATAACAAGCTTTCTGCTAAGGTTGCAATGTACAATTTTTCAATACAGTTTTCCCATTTTACAACTAATTTTGTAACAATGTTACAGGATCTGTATCTGTTGCTGCTGCTGACCAAAACCTGTGGTCAGTGTTTGGGGGTAATAAAAGAGTGGCAGAGGAACTACTGAAACACTCACATGCTTCATATCTCAGACGTTTAGTGACCAGTGTTGCTCTTCATAGTCAGGGACACTTTACAGTAAGTTGACACATCAGTATATACAGTAGGAACCCCGTATCTATGGGGGATATGTTCCAAGGACCTGCCATGGATAGTAGCAAACCCTATACACAAGTCCTATACATACCCATTATATATTATGCACGATAAGTGGAGAATTATCACTTTTTCACTGATAAGAAGCACTTCACTGCTTCTCTTAGGCTTTGCAGAAATGCCAGCTTTTCTACTGAGCTTTGTGGCCACTATGCAAAATTAATAGGTAATTTTGGGCCACAGAAAACCATGGATAACTGAAACCATGGATACCGAATCAGTGGATATGGGGGTTCTACTGTATTTAGTACTGTATTCAAAACAACCATGAGGGGAGTTGAAAGATAGCTCTAAGTTTTTCGTGTTGCAATGAACACATAATCAGGAGCTTGCAATGTTGCGGAAAAGAGGTGGTGGTCCAAGCAAATACGATCACAGGGAGTGCCTCTGCTGGAGAGAAGGGACTTTGATTGTATTTGCTTGGACCTCCTCCACTTTTCTGCAACATTGCAAGCTCCTGATGTATTGATTGCAACATGAAAGTTCTTGAGCTATCATTCAGCACCCTCTATGGTTGTTTTGCATCTTGTATCGCTTGTTCATGATTTTTGCATTAGAACTGTATAAATTTAGAAATTGTTGCTTTTGTGAGTGTGTTACATTGGAATGAGATGGAAAAGTGATTTTAATGGTTTGATGTGCTGTTGAAGAGTCAGCAAAGTAATATTTATGAAGAGTGTCAGAGAAACCAGTTAACCAGATTTGAATCCTGAAGGGAGAAAGTACAGTGTATGCACTCTGAAAGAGGGGTGAGGTTGTTACAGCTCAAAAGTTCATCTGAACTTTGATGTCAAAACATTTTATAATAATGATATCTTTATTTACTACAAGCACATGTACAAGGTATACAGGCCTAGCTGACATCAGTGACATAATACTATATACAAAGCCGCTCATTATGCAGAGCATTTTGGGCAAATTAGGTCAGTGTCCCAGGATGCGACCCACACCAGTCGACTAACACCCAGGTACCCATTTTACTGGTGGGTAAACAGACAACCAGTGTAAGGAAACACATCCGATGTTTCCACCCCTTCGCCGGGAATCGAATCTGGACCCTCACCTTGTGAAGCAAGAGCTTTTGCCACCAGGCCAGTAATTGAAGCAATGATGGTGAATGCATTATACTTTGTTATGTTGCTTTACCTAGTTGAGAGATGGCCAGTGTTAAAAAAAATAATAATAATAATACAGCAATAATGTTGTTATGATATTATAACAATAAGTTTCCTGTGATTTTCAGTTCTAATAGAATGAGTTATGAGAATTATGGTAATTAGCCAGTTATAATAAAGTATTGCATATCTTTCAAAACAGGTCACCTCAACTGAAACAGATACACCAGTTAAAAGACTTTTCTCTGAAGGTAGTCCTACTGAAATTCCCGAGATGAACTCATCCTATGACCCTCGCACTCAAGACTATGATGTTGTTGTGATTGCTACACCTCTTAATAAAGATAAAAGCAACATCAAGTTGGTAAATTTTACGAAGGACTTTGATTTTCCAGGGCATTTTGAAAGAATTATCTGTACAATGGTACAAGGAGAAGTTAATCCTGAAAGTCTTCTTCTAATGCCGGATGACCACATCGATGAAATTTTAGTAACCAATCCTGGACTTGCTTTCAATTCTTTTGGAAAGCAGTGTCCTGCATCTCTTTCTGTTAATTCTCAAGATTATCCAGATGTGTGGAAGATATTTTCTTCAGCACCTTTAGGAGAAGATCAGTTGAAAATATTTTTTAAGGAACGTAACTCCACAGATGTGATCGATTGGTTAGCATATCCTCATTATAACTCTGATCAACAGTTGGGAAACTTTGAATTGGTCCCAGGATTTTATTATCTGAATGCCATTGAATGGGCAGGAAGTGCCATAGAGATGAGCATAATTGGAGGAAAGAATGTTGCACTTCTAGCTTACAAGTACTGGCTGCAAGATCCAAATGCAGCCATGAACTCACTGTTAAAGGATGAACTGTGATAGAAGTTTGTGAAACATTTTGTAAATGATATGAGAAATGGATATATGCAATGGTGTTCATACTTTCTTTAAGACCAACAAGTAAATACCAGTATGTACAGCCTAGTAGTCATGTGTTTACAAACATGTAGTTTGCATGAGATATCTTTTAAGTTCCATTTTAGACATGTGCTTCTAGTAATATTCCCTGGAAAATTTGTTTGTAAATTTTGAAGAGAATCCATAAAAGAAAATGAATCCTTATAATCCGTGACAAGTTGGAGAGGCACACAGATTAACATCAGATTGTGATATTAAGTAACTGATTGTATAGTAGTTTTGTTGCTCTAATAGGGGGTTAGTGTAAAAAAAATCCATTTAGTAGATTATTTAATAAAGTTCTAAATATTTGGATATTTGGACATTGTGTTTTCCTTTGGAAATACTGTGAAATAGTATTCAGTTAATTATAACAAAATGCAATACATTGGCACTACTGAAGGTGGGTAAATGGGAGGCATTTAGTTCCAATCCTAGGAAAGTAAGTGCATATTCAATTTCTTGCATCAAGAATCCCTCAATGGTGTCAAGGAACCTTCCTCGAGGGAGAAGGGTGTATGTTAAATTATTAAAAATTTAGACAAATTTTTCCTTATTTTTTTGTTATTTTACCTTGAATATTTTTGTTTTGCATTATATTTTTTATTTCTAAGAGTACTGAGTGATCTACCAGGTCAAATCACTTCAAATCTCAAAACTACTTTACTTACTTTGTTGCCAAATAATGTACATAGTAAGCAGTTCTTCTAAATTAGGTGCAAGTTTATTGTCATCCTAATGTGGATATTGATTTGAGCAGTTTGGTGGTATTTCTTGAGTCATTTCTATGAAAGAGGAAGAGAAGACTTCTTAGAATACTACCAGGGAGGGATAAGGACACAAAAGGTTTCCTGAAGCAGTGTCATTTATGATTAGTTGTTGGAAACTGAGTAAGATAAGATTGGATAAAATAGAATGGGTGACATTTCATTTTAGTGTCATAATTAGAGGGCACTCTTATTATTTTCCTCATGGAAATAATGCAGCAGCTTATTAAAGGGCCAGATGCTAGAGCTCAACCCTCTACAGCACAAAGTCCATAATTTGGGAGACACCTGTATAGGTACATGAGCTGTGACTCGACCCCGACAACCATAACCGGGTGTTTATGTGCTGCACACAAATATGATGTACTTTGTCATGAAGAGAAGGCCACTAGTTATATCAACCTTCCAGTTAAAGACCAGGCCTAAAGATCTTAACCATACTGAGAGTACGGCATGCACATGCACTTTTTTTTAGGGTTATCCTAGGTAATTTATGCAATTACTATGTATGACATTTTGTGTAATTGTATTTATGTGTACCTGTACCTAAATAAATTTACCTATCCATTCAGGACATTGGACAAGGTGGAAAACTTTAACCCTAATTACATTTTAGAAATGCTCAATGCTACATTTTCATGCTGGTGAAGAACCTTGATTGAAGGAATGGCATCTGTCACTCCCTTCCTTGGACCAAAGTTGATTACCTTCCATTCTCCAGGGTGCTGTAAGACTCCTAGTGCTTCCCTATGAATAATATAATAATACTACAAAAAGAGGGGTGGCACCAAGAGGAAGGTGAACTTGAAGCCTCCCAGAAATTCCATCAACCCCCCCTCAAAGCTCCTAAATAAAAAAAAATGGTGCTTCAAAACAAGTGCCCTAGCCCTCTCTACCAACAAAATAGCCACCCCTAAGTCCTTTATGTGAAACTTCTGGAGCTATCCCTGTTGCCATAGATGCCTGTGATAACAGGATGTATGTGCAGTTACCAAGCTATTACTGTCTGTGCATCAAAGGGAGGTTTTTTTTAGCAGTGAGGGGCTCATAATTATTATTATTATAACTAAGTGCTAAACCCACAAGGGTTGAGGGGGGCTCATAATCCAAGGTTGAATATTATAAGTCAACTTTGTTCCTTCCTAAGGATTAAGACTTGTACAGTGCTAAACCCACAGGGTTGAGGGGGGCTCATAATCCAAGGTTGAAAATTATAAGTCAAATTTGTTCCTTCCTAAGGATTAAGACTTGTACAGAATAAACATAATTATTGTATTTTTGTAATTAAAACTGATCCTTCTTTGCCACACAAGTTAATTTATTAAAAAAATTATCTATTATGTCCAGTACTGAAAAAGATCTGAAGTTTAAATATGGGCTACTTAACTGGCCTAGTTAAATGGTCTTAATATTCACTGACCTTAGCATTACAGAAACAAAAAACAGTTGTTGGCTTTATGACAGCAATATATTAACCTAATTTTCTTAAAAAATTATAAGGATACAAAACTATAGGTAGTAGGTTGGTAGACAGCAACCACGTGTATAAATTACTACATGTTAAAAGAAAAACTTCTGCTTTCCTGAGTCAGTCTTCCTTGGTGGGAAACAGCCAGTGTGAAAAAAAAATTTTAAAGGCTATGGGTATTCTTAATTTTATTTTACACTCAAATGATATAAAGATATAAATTATTAAAACATACTGAGAATCTCACCTTTAGGAAGCATGTTGAACAGATAAGTAAGGAATGATGTCAGAGTCAGGAGTGCTTTGGCATAGAGCTGACATGATGGTATCTACTTCTTGCCACAACACTGGCTCAGGCAGTCTCTTAATCTGAAGAGAGACCTGAATAACAAATGAACTCTTATCATCTACTCACCAAGGGTAAAAAAAATGATAGGATAATGTATGAAGGTTAAACTAGGCTTACCTTGTAAGGAAGAAATTAGACAACTATTTGACTTAAAACATACATAAATTTAACCATTTTAAAAAAAATATATGAATAAGAAAAATGCTAATTTTCATTTATTTTACATTCATGACACTTTGACCATTAGTGAATAAGAAGTTGTCCTCAGAACAGTCCTCATTCTATATGAAACTTCTTCAAATTTTTTTTACAGCACAATGTGTAATTCAAATTCAAATCAAATGACCACTGAATCAAATATTTGTATCAGATTCACAATATATACAGAAAGATATCAAAATATTTATAGAAGGGTAACAGAAGAACTTACAGCAGAGTACAGTAGGGCCCTGCTTTACGGCATTTTGCCTTACAGCGTTCCGCTAATACGGCAATTTCAAATTATGACCAAAATTTGCTATACGGCAAGTGGTCTTTCAAATACGGCGTCCCCACCCAGTTTGTTTATATTCTTCGTGAGCACATCTATTATGTCTGGAAACTTTCCAAAATTTCAAGTGTTTTAAAGTTATTGCATATTTTATGTGTACTCTGATAATTATACTCATGTGTACCTGTACCTAAATATACTTACACAGTGTGCTGGTGTGTAGGTACACACTAAAATCACTAAGTCTCTCTCTACTCACGACAGCCTTCCACCAAGCATAAGGGGAATTACCAATAAACCCCTGGCTGCCTTCAAGAGAGAGCTGGACAGATACCTAAAGCCAGTGCCGGATCAGCCGGGCTGTGGTTCGTACATTGGACTGCGTGCGGCCAGCAGTAACAGCCTGATTGATCAGGCCCTGATCCACCAGGAGGCCTGGTCGTGGACCAGGCCGCGGGGGCGTCGATCCCCAGAATAACCTCCAGGTAGATAAGAACATAAGAATGGAGGAACACTGCAGAAGGCCTACTGGCCCATGCGAGGCAGGTCCTTATCAAAACGACCTCTACTTTAAGCTACCCAAGAAATAACTCCCGTACCCAATGATACCAATCAAACCCAGCCCCTCCCACTCATATATTTGTCCAGTCTCTTCTTAAAGCTACCCAAGGTCCTAGCCTCTATCACCCCACTGGGAAGACTGTTCCACGCATCTACAACTCTGTTAGAAAACCAGTACTTACCTATGTCCTTTCTAAATCTAAATTTATCCAACTTAAATCCATTATTTCTGGTTCTTACCTGGTTCGACACCCTCAGTACTTTATTAATCTCCCTTTTTTATGCCCGTCATCCACTTATACACTTCAATGATATCTCCCCTCATTCTACGCCTCTCCAGAGAGTGGAGATTTAAGGCTTTAAGTCTCATACGGGAGGTTCCTTACACAGTAAAAGATACATTGCATATAGTAAGAAAAGTCACTTAATATGTAAAGCATTTCGGGCAAACCATTCCTAAAACTTACTACATACTACTTAATTCTAGTCTTAGCACATAATTATAGACAATGAGTGGCAGAACAGGATCAATAATTTCTTCAATTATATGGCAGTTGCGATTAAAAAAAATAGGTAGTAGGAGTAGATTTGCTGTTGAAAAGGAATTTACATTAGTAAGTTTATTCAGGTATACACAAATATGGTTACATAGATTATCATACATAGCAGCATATGTGTAGAGAACCCAGGATAACTCAAAAAAGTCAAAGTGACATACATGTATTTCCATTGGGGTCCTCCTCATTTCGTGGAGTACAAAATGTTGAAAATGACAAAATGAACGTATTAATTTAGTTCTCATTAATATATATCATTTAACTAAAGTACAGTGTAGGGAGTGGTAGAATTATGATGACAATAACTCCTCATTAAATCCGGTGTACCTCCTTGCCAAGCCCCAGCAGAGCGAGACGCCTACATCCCCAACTGAGTTAAGTAACCTGCCTCCCACCAAAGACCGTCTTTAATTAATAATATAATATCTTTATTTACTACAAGTACATGTACATAGGCCTAGTTGACATCAATGACATACTACTATATAGAAAGCCCCTTGTTATGCAGAGCATAAGATAAGATAAGATAAGATTTCGTTCGGATTTTTAACCCCGGAGGGTTAGCCACCCAGGATAACCCAAGAAAGTCAGTGCGTCATCGAGGACTGTCTAACTTATTTCCATTGGGGTCCTTAATCTTGTCCCCCAGGATGCGACCCACACCAGTCGACTAACACCCAGGTACCTATTTGCTGCTAGGTGAACAGGACAACAGGTGTAAGGAAACGTGTCAAATGTTTCCACCCGGGAATCGAACCCGGGCCCTCCGTGTGTGAAGCGGGAGCTTTAGCCACCAGACCACCGGGCATTTTGGGCAAATTAGGTCAGTTTTGTCCCAGGATGCAACCCACACCAGTCGACTAACACCCAGGTACCCATTTTACTGATGGGTGAACGGGGATGGCAGGTGTCTTATGGAAACACGTCGTAATGTTATCCAGCCGTACCGGGGATTCCATCTTCGGACCTCAGTGTGTGAGCTGAGTGCGCTAGCGAGGCAACTATGGGACACCGTTAAAGAATTATCCGCAGAACGGAAAAATGGAGCTGGCTAAAAATAAGCCGATGACTAGGTGCTCCTCCTGTAAAATGCCCGGCAGACAAAATAGACGAGGAAAAGCGTCCCAGAGAGAACGGAAGAAATTTGTCACTGATACTCAGGCGAAAGAGACGTCCACAACCAACCAAGGCTGGAGCAGAAGCCCTACTTTGAAGGTGTGTTTATTGTTGCTGTTACAGATGGTGTTGAGGGTTGTTAAGAGTCACAGAAGTTTACGCCTTGACCGCTGATGCCGACTTAAGATTTTGCTTGTGTTCTAGTTAAGGGGCAGCATAGGAAGGTGTACTCTTCTGTAGC